AAGTTGGCGTCTGCTATTGCCTCCAATCTGCGGTTTGTAGTTTGCCGCCCAAAAATTTCAAAAACAAAGCCAACATCATAGGATGTTATCCGACGTTATGACTGACTGCGAAGGGTTGTCCCAACTATATAGAACGCCATAAGTATCGTGCAAGCTTGCATGAGCGTCCTGCAACAAGTACACAGACTAACTGTGGGTGATGCCCACGAATTGCTTTCGCTAAAAGCTGAGTATGGTCGGCAATAGCAACGATTAGCGATCAGAAATTATTTGTCATTAGCTCTATTGGAATCAGGTCGCGTTAGCTTTACAGTATTGTCTGGTTGCTGCCCCAATATAGTATCCACCGATAATCAACTTATTGAAACTATACCCTGTTGTGATGCATAGGTGACGTCAGCTGAACTATTGTATATGCCCGTATGCAGAGGAATCAACAACGAATCGAGGGCTCGCGCTTGTTAAGCAAGGACGACAAACTGTGTCCTTAGCTGGATCTAATCCACTATCCGCAAGATATCACTCCACTATCATCGTTAGATATGACGATCGTGTCACATACGTTTATAAATTGCACGTCATTGTGTGTGTTAGCATTCATGTACGTGTTGCACGCCTGGCGTAAAACATCAACATCAAAACGCCGCATTCATTATGCATATGTCTATGTGGAACAGTATCAAACTACCAGCACTAGCATCGCAATAATAATAACCATAAAGACAGTATGGTAATAATAATCATAGTAAGAATGAACGCTGATCTAGCGGCGGTTGTCGGTCATTGCTGATGATTGTTGTAAGAGTAATTACAGTTAATGACTGTTTCATGGGCATTCGGTGCTCACGTTACGTCTGAAGTCTTCCGCCTTCCTGTTGGCGTACGTCGCTACAGCAGCTACAAAGACCCATCGGCTAAATGCCCAACGACCGTACGTCAGGTGGGCGCGAAATTGACAGCACAAAAGACGTGGAACGACTAAATGCGAAAAATGATCGGCGAAGCGCGAAGACTGGTACTCCTTCTATATCTTCTTCACAACAAGTACGACACTACGGAGATATAAATTACGTTGTGCAAGAGAACGAAGCGCTGCTTGAAGACTCCGGAAAAGATGCAGTGCAGTACCGTACGATGATCCGCTACTAGTTCACTAACACCTGTGAGCAGCTACACACTTCGACGATATGTTAGCAACGCCTTGTTCTTTTGGTAGCTGAAAAATAGAACTACGCCAGAAGAAGTACCAGGCGAGAACGATAGCCGTCTCTATGCATGGCAGAACCCTTAGACTGGCAATAATAACAAAGCGGTAATTTTAGGCAGGAGATAGAAAAGGAAAGCGCGTATTTGAGAAGTCGTTCCCCCAGAATCGAACTATCCACATATTCATGGGGTACACAGTGTCTACCTGATGATTGATGCTCTAATTGTATACTAAAAAAACCTTATCTTTTAACTTATCTCGTCGCGCAGCAAAAGCCCCATAGCTATCCATTATAAGGTCAAAGTAGGCAAGCAAATATGCTTATTTACAAAAGTAATATCTACAGATGTGTGCATGTTCCTGCGGAAACTCGAGGCGCCGCTTTAGCCCAAGACTGCCTTGGTCGCAGTTTCTAATGATAATAATTACCTTGAAGACGGCTGATCTACGCCGTTGTTACTCTACTCATAATCACGGCCAGATCTCCCATCAAACACTCGATATACACACACCCACTCAGTCGTGGCGTTTGATTATTAGGCCACAACAGTGACAGACACCGAAAAGCAAGCCATCGTCTATTTGGGTTAATTTTTTCACATATAACAATGATTATATTACGAGGCCAGCAAAAATAACCATATAAGCATTAAAACTATACGATGGTGATTGCACCATCCATAGCATTTGATCTTACTATCGGGTTCCATAACGCATCTAACTTTATATGCTTGCAATCAGGTAAGTCCGATTATTTATCTAACATGCTTCTTGTTCTCACTAATTCGCATCGCCAGCTAAACAAAGCAGGTTTGTTCTACACAAGGACCTAAAACTTGTGTTTTACGTGACAGGGCAAACACTATGTCCCCCCATTATTTCTACACGGACGGTGGATATTATCATCCTGTGCATCACGTTTATATTAACTGCGTAATCTTGGTCTGCGGCAGTCCTTTTGCCCCTTACTAATGCTAACCGGGGTCTGGGAGCAAGATGCATGGATGGACAGGCTAACAGCTCCTTCGTCCTTTCAAGGAACGAAAAAAGAAAAAGAGGGGGAGTGCTTAGCAACAGAAAAACGAATTAAGAAAGGATAAGGATTGGCGTTTGGCGACACCATAGCCGTCCACCCAGCCCCTGACTAGGAATCGGGGCGTAAACCCGTTGTAAATATACTGCCTTACGATGCACTGGCTGCCATGTCCCATTTTTTGATCCCGTGACAGTGAATCCCTTTAAACGACCAAACGTGAAAGGGAGCGCTCGATTTTCCTGTTCTATGAAACGTAATATAATGACAATGTCACGCTGAACTCTTCTCATAATCATCCACTTAATATAATACATATTGAAATGGAGTACGAGACACAAAAACACTGGACCGATAAGCCATGCGCAAATTTGGCTACAGCTGCCCCTACACAGTGTTCCTCGTTGTAACACTGCTAATTTTCAACCATCAACTGTAGGTAAGCTCGAGGATTAATATACCTGCGCCATTAGGTGCAGAGGTTATATATATATATATATATATATATATATATATATATATAGTCAAGAACCGCAGACGGTTACTGTATTTGTTTTCTGGACGAAGCAAGAAACAACGTTGGATCGCGGCGAATTGACCGACACAACAGACGAATCGTAGTACATCTTCCCACACGCGTCGCTGTTACTGCTACACAGACAGAGATATACTAGACATATAAAAATTCGTACAGCCCCGCAGAGTGTCTAAGAGACACGTGAGTTACGAACGGCGAACGGAAATTCTGTGGCGTCCAAGCGAATATGACGTCGGAAGAGCTTCCCTGGTGTGACGCTGCGCTATCGTAACACATCACAACTCTCCACATGGGCCAATTCATCGGAATCCGCTACTAATAATCCCACATACCTGTCCACTCGCTCATATAAATCAGCGCGTAAAAGAGCTCTGTCGCAGATGTATATAATACTAACGGCAAAGGACATATACAGCAGAAACACCCGCACAGTTAGCCCAGTGAGCCTTACGCACCTAGCACAAAACACGATTTTAGGTTCGGCTTTACAAGCCGGCTCGACTCTACAAACATACGCACGTACGAAATTACTTATATAGAATGATTGAGAAATCGCTTCGTACTCGCCGTACAAGTGATACGATGGAATCACAACTGGTAGTGAACCAATAGACACGATGTGGTGCACCACTCACCGCCAGAGAGAAATCCTTTACGTCTGATATCTTTTACTCTAAGGAACGAGATTAACACGAAAATTAAATAAACTACAAGAAATGTTTCAATCTAGAGACAGAGAACTGTGAGCTAGTTTCCGTTCGTTGCGGATTAGCCAATTAAATTCACTAGTAGATACCTGATGGAAATAATTCCATCGTTACCGTTTTACGAGGCTATAAGAAAAATATGGTGTTGTCAGTACATGAGTATATTCAGATCCGACAAGTAGTGGCTATTGATTGCTGGAAGCCGTATCAAGTGCGCAATGCCTAGCGATAAATTATGTCGTCTACAAACGTAAGAATCTACTAACTAACCAGCTCTTATTATAAGACGTTAATTGTCTCGAAATACCGGTCAAGCAAGTACTTTGTCATTTGCATAGACAGGCTTTGTATTCACAAGCTGAATATACCCGTAAACCGGCGACAGGAGATCTAGTTATAGCCTGTTGTTAAGATGGCTGCTTAGACAGCCGTAGTAATCGAATGACACCAGGGCCTTTAGTAATATGAGGCTGACGGATGTTATTTCCCTCGACTTCCATAATCAACTACATTTTTCAGTGATTTCAATGCTGTTACATGTATCTACGCTGTCTAGAGCTCAGCCACACTGACCATATTTATTCACGCGAATCTCAATAGAAAATAGCGTTAAAGCAGCGTATGGCTGCAGTTGTATGTGAAGAGCATGAATTGTATGTAGTGGATTATGCTCGAATAGAGCGTGTTTAAGATTGTGATAGAAAGTTTGACGATTAGTGCAGCTTCAAGCATTCGGCCAAGTATCGTGCCTCTCTGAAAACAAACTTCCTTGATATAAAAAAGTAGAGGAACGCATAACTAGTTACGACCTCGGATTTTAGCAGTTTAAAGTCTTAGTTAAGTCCTACGCGGATGAACCTAACTAACCGGAAGCGTACCTGACATCCAATTAAATGTAGAAACGTTCAAAGTAATACAAATGTTGAATATAAAGAAAAATGTCTGAAATTGACTAAGCTATATCGAAAAGCGAATTTATGACAGGACCGCATGTATTTCCCGTTAGATACTTGCGCAGTTACTTGATGTACAGTGAAAAGCTGTTCTCTTTGCGCTTGCTCGAAAAGGGATTTCCTTGTTTCGAAAGCCCTTTACGCCATCGTCTTTAGTGCGGTAGGTTTACACTTTGATGTTATCAGTTGCTACAGTAAAGAGTGCTTGTTACATTCTATGCGCGGTAATAAGGACGATGTTGCGCAAGCGCTCCTTCTTCCAGGGCGCACCGCTCTCCACCAGGGAAGAAGTCCCTCAGTCTCCCTGGAGCATTTCCCCTCGCCCTCTCCTAGTCCCTAATCATGTTTGTTCTCCTTTGGAGGGTCGCTACGCCCGTCTCCGAGTTAGCGAAGATGGTAAAGGGATTCGTTGCACAATATTCCTTTCTGCGTAAGAGGCGTCTTATCTACTGTTGGGTAGATTTGAAAACTAACCTAATCATGCAAAGACATGCCACGTAATTCTGTTTGTAAAAGTGTACTATAATACATTCTGAAGGGTTGTGCTGATGTGATTACGCACCTGATCACTCCATCCTTGGCCGTATTTCCATTGTGTGGCATAAAATTCAGCGTTACGCGTTAAAAAGTTGAAGTCGAGCTTATGACCTCGCTGTGCTAGTGCACGGGCCGCAACCTGTGTGCCATCTAGCGAGCGAACCTTTCTCTCCTTGGCCCTTACCGATTTGTTGTTAACGCGAACCCTCGAGCATCCAGCCAACTCAGCAAGTGGGCAGAGATGCACGAGAGCCCATGGCTCACTAGGAATGTCCTCCTCGGATGGGCCAGCCACGTGCACGACCCGGCCATCGCCGACATGCACAGCCCAGTGGGCGTACAGCGTGCGATCAATTTCGACTATATCACCAACCTTCAGCTCAGGCACAAGATCGGCCGCGGGAACGAACGCCCCCAGACCAAATGTGGTTGCATTACTTTGAGGCATATTCGTTCGTACGAATTGACGCTCACTTGGCACAAACGCTCGCTGGACGGTGTAATACACATACACACATGCACAAACAGACCTAATCTATGGTGCCAATAATGATGATGCTTGCAGAAATAGGCCTGTGCTTACAATATATAGCCGCTTATGCAGGTCGCACAGAAAAACTTGCGACACACAGTACACTAACACAAACACGCAAAAAAACTCTTGGGCGATAACTGCTATTGTCGTTCCTAGGTTTCTGAGTGATTTTGGCGGCACTTTTCCCTTCGCGTATATCTTTTTCTCGTTTTGTTTGGAAACCACTTGTAACTGGTTAACGCTTTGGGTTAGCTAATGGGTGAGCAACTTGTAGCAAAACTTCGCAGATGTGATATGCTGCAGTGCCAGCAGTACTAACTGGAGCAGTAGATCGTTCGGCGATACTCACTTGATTGTTGCTTCTGTGGGCTTGCTGTTACTCGTATGTGCTACAATACAAGCAAACAAATGAGTGTATGTGTAGAAAAACTAGTAGCGTTTTAGCCTTCGGCGACCGTCTGCTCACTTCTGCGTTTGCGTTGTTACTGACGTTAGTGCTTAGCAGCTCCGGGCCCAAAAGCTCCCCGAAAGGCTGGCCGCCATACTCGCTCGCGCTCATCTAGGGAAGGGGGGCCTGCGATGGAGAGCTGCCATCGACAGGTGCGACCCTAGTGGCCATTCGACGAACTAATGGGCCCTGCTGCTGCCATTGCTTAGTCTGAGGGGGACCAGTGCGATGGCGCGCCGCGGTACAAGCGTATCACGCACCGCAGGTATACATTATAATTATACTGTGTATACGTCGTCATGGAGGAGTTAGGCAAGAGTTCTGCCTAAGGCGAGAATGGGGCTGACGGCCGCTCACAATAGGTAGATTGATAGATAGCCAGTCAACTACCCAACGGCAGAGTTAACTGGTACTAAATCGCGACACCTCAAACTCGTCTAGAGCATGCCACTCTGTTCACCTTTTACACTTTCTAGACGCTGTTACTACAGCGTTGGGGCGTTGGTAAATGATTTTCCAAAGGCGACCAAGGAGTGGGCCAACCAGAGCGGTGAGCGTGAGTGACATGGAGCACAGTGGAAGATTCCCCGAGCTAGAAGAGCACTCGAATTGTTGATGGCAGCACCAGTCACTGTTGTGACACGCTGTTACGGATATATCCTCTCAGCGGATACGGAGTGCCAGAAGGCGTCCAAGAGAAGCCTGTTAGCATCGCTGCTTTCCCTGTCTCAGCCGACACTCTCAAATATCGCCAGCCGCTGTCTGCCGCTCCCGATGAAAACAGCGCAACGACATAATTTGATGCTACTGGCCACTGTTGTTGACTTGTTGTGAAACGGACTGAGCACAGACAACCATCAGCACCATCTAGCTCTCGCCAAACGTTCATCGTACGCCCTTTAGCCGGCCGCCACGCGGTCTACGACGCACGGATGGAGTAGTGATTACCATGGCTAAATCGCTCTATAGTAGCAATATAATGTCCGCCGAACTCATGGAAACCGTCACGATGTCCTTGTTGGAGTATATCTATGCGTTCCGAGGCAACGGGGGTTTGCTGGCAAAAATTTTGGGGTGCACAATAGGTCCACCATCTAGCCGACAAATGGACGTCATGCTATCACGCTTACTGCTACAGTCACAAGCAGATACTAGAGATACTGTGCCAGTGGTACGATGTGATACATCGGATGTTTTTTCTAACTAGTGCAGTGCGCGTTATGGTAAAGATCGGTCTCATCCTAATAGCGAACATGCACACGCGCACAGAAGGCCAAACAAGCTCAGACCAAATCTAAAAAAAAAGTATGAAAATACACAAACAGCTTTAAGAATGATCATAGTACTAAGAGCTTTAGGTTGGGCCAAAAATGCTATAGGGCGTTTACTTGATGCAAACGGGAGTTTGGAAGTATAAAGCTGAATAAAAAAAACATAAGCATATCTTAATCTAGGTGTTCGCATATTCAGCAAAACATAGTCTCGTTGATGATGATTATTACCGTACCTAAAAAACCAACTAGTTACTATGATGTGTATTCGGTTGAACAATGATGCTACCTGAATAGGATACGAAAAAGTAAGATCTTCTTCAAACGAGGAGTATTTTTGGCCTGAACATCCATGCAGAAACTGGCGCTTTGAGTTTGAACCTTTTAGGACACCGCTGCCGGTAAATTTCAACCACGTATCTATATTTATACGGGCTAGATTTTGCTTTAATAACATTTCGAAGATAGCTCACTTTGAGCCCTGTGTAAAGCTGGTTCGCATCTAAATATGTATGTGCTTTGAAGAAAGCTAAATTACCCTGTATTTGACTATTGGAACCTATTTGTTATGAACGACCAGTTGTCACACTTCTACACTGGGAGCGCGTTTTCCTTAGGAGGGAGGTACCATCTACCGGATTAGCCAAGATATTTGCGGGTTAGTTTTGTTTTCAAGCATACCTCGAGGCTTATTCGAAATTTCTGCTTACTCCTTAATCGTGTCGATTTAATCTCTACTATATTACATCGATGCGGCGAACACTTCATTTTGGAGGATAACCTTTCACACAAACTAATATAAAAATACTGTATCTCCCGTTTACACAGTGGATACATGTGTGCCTCTCGCAGAAGGTGGGCTCATTTTATGTTAGACTTTCGGCTACGATTCAGAAGTAATTGTGCCAATATTATAATAAGTTCCCATATTCTATTAAACTTTATATACATCTCAAACGTTATATAGCACTGCCTTTAATTAGCGCTATGTTCGAATATTGTAGACTGAACGTCTGTGGTCATTTCTACGTATGTGAATGCTAGATACAGCCGCAGACGTAAAATATCAATAGCGTCATCAGTGAATTCATTTACTATGTATTTATTTTGAAATGGTACTGGGTAGTGGAATTCATTGGCCTGACAGCTTCGATTAACGGGTGCTCCCGAACATCGGCCTGATACGTCGATAAAATTGTTTAGCGTCAAAGTTGGACGGCTGCCATGGATCGAAAAAAAGAGCGAGCCATCACACAACCAGATCAGAACTAACACGAAGACGTCGTTGGCCTCAAACACCGCTTCTCATAGCCAATGTCCGGCGATTTTATCCGTCTAGTTAAATTATCCGAGTGGACGAGCTCACCGCATTCAGACGCATAGCTTCCTTGAAATGATGTTTCCATGTGAACGAACTCGATGAGCTCTATGCACTAGTCCTCCTTCAGCCTGACATGCACACATACATACATGCATGCATGCATACATACATACATACATACAGTAAAAACACCGAGCAATGGGTAGTGGGTCAAATCAAGTTCATCACTTTTTGCGCGATGTTACACAGAGCTAGAATTAAGCACATCTGTTAGCGTGATGATGATGATGAGGAATAGTGGGTCGTGCAGGATCGCAAAAGGTTATACTTTTCTACATGTGCATGATACAGAAATATGCTTCTACAGTGTTCGGTGCTAAATATGCTTACAATGTAACGCATGTGAGATTTTACATGGTGCGTCAAGTTCTCGCAGATGGGTATTCACACGGAAATAGGATGCAGATACGTTTCACCAAATTTACGTGACTCCATAGTTGGACTAGTGCAATTAGGTTAAATCACTATCTCTGAGTTATGAAAGAGCCCCTCTACGTGATCTGGAAGATTCCTTCCTATTCTTATACCTTTTTAACCCTTGCTAGCGAAATACTTGACTAAACTTAAACACAACACCAGACGCGCACGAAACCATTTCTAGCTTTAACCTGTTTTTTTGCCTGTCGTTTTCGCTTTTGAGCTCCTTCAGTCGTCATTCTTCGTTAAATCAAACTTTAAGTTCAACTACAAATAGTAAAAGTACTTTTCTTCTCTATATATTAACTTTGACAGATTCACGAAATGTCATTGTATTAGATAAAATCCCCCGAAAATAAATTGTCTCCAGCTATAGCACATACATATTAGTCAGTTTTAATGCAGATCATTGTCTAATTGCTTTTGATTGTGGTACTTATCGCCGTGAGCTTGAGTTACAGTAGCAGTGTCGTTCTTCCTGTAAATGGTCCTTACTGAGTAAAACGTTCGTCGATAGGGAAAGCACCATAAGCTCCTTAAACCCAATGATTTTTGAAGGTTTCAAATGATTATAGTGACTCTAATGCGCAATTCGTATGGTGGACATTGCAAGGGACAGATCGTTGCTATTAAAAGAAGTTTCGGTATGCAATGTGTTCGATCAAGTCGGCGACAAAGGCGAACTTCGATAAAGATATACGCGAACTATGCCTTAGGAAAAATCTTGAAATGCGGTATTCCTTATCATGGAGCAAGCACACCAAGACATGATAAGAAAATCATCAATAATAGTCATCGAATTAAAGACGCGCACCTAAATACAAAGTCGCTTATCATATCTGACGCACCATGAAATACTTTTTTTTTGATAAAAATATTAATTTTTAACATGTACGATAATCTTTGTATATCAACAATGATAGGAACACTTTCAGATTGGCGTCAAAGTTATCGGCAAATAAATGAATACATGAAATCGTATGGAGGTTTAAGTAACTTTTCCTACTTTACCATTTACCAAATATCACTAATATATGACTAGTTACAGGTTGTCAGTTCTTCTTAGGTGGCCAAATTACCTAGCGAACTAAGTTAGATCTACTACCATTCTAGTCCACCACGTAACCATTCGGCTTTTGTTCATCACACACATGATTTTCTGGCTCAACTTATTTTTTTCCTTATTTCCAACACATAATATTGCTTATGCTAAATGCACTTCTAGTGAACAATGTATGGAAATAAGTTAGGAATTCATCAATATAGGTCAAACTATCGCCTTTCACTTAGATAACTGGCCTTACTCAGGAGGACAACCTAAACCTTTTTTATTTTGTTGTCTTGCTCTGAGGTTTTTCTGATCAAATAAGAGGGCCGAGGAAGTTAGTCGAAGTTATTTCGTTTACAGAAAACTAAGTGCGTACAGATTACAAATACAGCAAACTCTAGCCCGACTCTACCCAGCAGTCGCAGATTTGGAACTGACCGTGAACCCGGCCAAGCGATAAAGCTTAGAAGAGTAAAGTACCTATACTAGCGATACTGATGTTTCCTCAGGTTGCCCCTTAGCTAAGTTAATCGGTTTCCGTATCTGGTGCTGCTGTTACCCGCGAATGGCAGAAGTCTCACTGCGCACATCAGCGAAATATGCGGGAAAGCAATGTTTGCCGCATGGGCAATCAAACCGCTTTATCGGTTGTTTTTCGCAACTGCTCTCAGCGTGCTCGTCCTCGCACGTGTGTCTCACAGTAGAAGCAATCCAATCGTATCAAAGCCTCCTTCCTCAAAAGAGCACGACGGCTACATGTACTATGTTGAAAATGCCTCGCGTGTCCCTTAGCCGGCTTCTCGTTGTCTAAAGAACTACGTCGCTGTGAGCCCCCAGCAATAGAAGTTTTTAAGCCCAACCTTATACAATAAGTGCAAAATATGGTGAAATAGGCGGGGATTTCTTGGCTTGAGGTGCGATGACGGACAGT